GAGAACAGCGGGCTTTTGGATCGTCTCCAATAGCTGTTTTAATAGCACATAACAAAAATATCCCATTTGCTAATCCTCGTCTCAAACTGAATTGAATGGCGCGTCCTGAAAATCAGGAAGGAGTGGGTTTAGCATCTGAGTAGAGTCTGAGGCAACCTTGCCGAAATAGTGTGGGACATCATCGTTCTCTTGCATAAGGAGCGATTACTTCAAGCGCAGAGAAACCTCAATATTAACACCTTCTCAAGTTGCAGGAAGGGGAACTTGCGACCGCTCTTGCTCCTGAGGGTGCAGAAGGCAGAGGTGCGGAAAGCAGACCTGGAGCTCCCAAGGTTAGTATCCCAGACATGCGGTCCTCATTATTCTCTACGTAGTCGGGAGATGCACTCAAAAGTGCAGAAAGCAGAATATTTGCGAAATAAGTGGTTGAACGAGCATTCATAACTCCTGTCCAGTGGACCTAAAGAGTTTAAATTTGGTAGGATTACAGCTTTTCGTATTAACGGTGGAACCTCGGCAATAATAATAAGTGGTATAGGATATGACGAGATTGTAGGTTCTCGATGACAGGAATCGGACGATAATAACTGAAGTAATAAAGGGTCTAAGAGAGCAAGAGCCAACTACCAATCAACATCCTAACACGATCGGTATTTACGATGCAGCTCTGACTGTTCAGCTGGGTTACAATAGTGATTGGTAAAAACAGTGATAGCGACGAAAGGCGCTATGATAAGCAGATGAGAATCGTGTCCATTTCTTGCTATTAGATTACGACCGCTACCCAGCAAGATTTGTGAATCAATGAAGGAACTTCTTTTTTCGATATCATTTGCGACAAAACTTAACCGATCTGGAAATCTCAACTAATGTTATCTGTGTAAAAAGAAGGTCCATAGATAACGACATCTGATAATGGTGTTATCGTCACTTGAAACATTTGTGAGTACGGCCAATGGCTTTGTCTACCTAACAGTTAAATCATTATTGGGAGCAAAAAATCGAGACCCCAAAGTCGTAAGCACCAACTTATACTAAATACCATTTGCTCCGCTCTGTTAGTCCTATGTCAAGCTTTGTGAACGGGAAAATATTATTTGTTCAAAAGAGAAGTGTAGAGTTGCCGATTAGCACAACTTTGCCGAAAAAGGAGGGAAGCCCGGCATTAGCCGGACGAACCGACTGATATGTATGTATATTGAGGCGCTCGCGTCTGCCTCCATGTCTGTCATGAAACTCAATACTACCTGAAAGAACATCTGTCAGAGTTCGGGTCAAGTGTGGAATGGGTTTTTTGCATACGGCAAGACCACTAGAGCACATGTGAGCTCAGCGGAGCTCCGCCCGCAGGGGGTGGGACATGCAATGGAGTGGTTGGTGTCTTAGGCCAAGTTTTTTATCCGGTCTCATAACAAGCCAGACGCCGGAAAAAATGAGAAGAGGAGAGGGACGGGCCAACAAATATAGTGAATGAGATCGTGGAAAGGAGGAGCGTTCTCGCAGTGAACGCCACTTTCCATGTAATTTCATAACTTAATTCAACGAAGGTGTGATGGCCAGAAAAATAGGAGTAAACAATACGTCATGCGCGCAGGACATGCTCGAACTCAGCGAAGTGCCGTCCTAGATGGGCTGGGCGGCGCTGAAATAGAAGACACTTCTCAATATTGAATATAACTCTGCTCAGAAACGTTCTGGGACACAGGGAAAGAGGAGTCAGCTGTTACAGAAGAAATGTGGTCAATCCTAGAAGAGGGCGGGTTTGCACATAAGTGGCGAGACATAGACCAAAAATTGATAACTACGTTCAGAAACGCGGGAAAAAGTGATTAGACGTAACAGAAGAAATGTGTTCAAACTAGAAGCGGGGCCTTAAATCAGAATTTCATACCTCTTTCTAGAAAAATATTCTAGAATACGGGGAAGAAGCGGTTAGAGTTAATAGAAGAAATGTGATTAAATCTCTGAAGTGAACGGGGTTTGCGCTGAAGTGGGCTAGCGTCGACAATTCATAACTGCGTTTAAAACGTTATAGAATGGGAAAAATGGTTAGAGCAGCCGAAAAAACGTCAAACTTTCATAGTGGGAGAGATCTTCACTGAAGTGGACGGGACTGTGATTAACCTCTAATAATTCTACTCAAATGAAGTATGTCGAGGTCTTAAAGCGGGTCCAGCGTCTAAGTCAGAGAGATCTATTAGGTTGTTCGGAAAGGAATGCGCGTCTGAGTTCAAAAAATTTTTTATTGTAAAAACGAAACCAAACAAGAACAATTAAAAAGATATTCTCCATTACTATCGATGACTTGTTGTCTACGTTTACGCAAAGAATGGATCCTTTTCCTGAAGAACTCGGCCGGTTGCAACTCAAAGTAGTTG